GATTTATAGTTTTTATAATATTGAAATATTGGATTTGATGAAGATTATTTAAAGTTAAAATTGGAACCTCGTCATTTTAATGATGTTTTTTAATATTGACAGTCATGTTAGCATTTTACAACAAACATTACATTATTATATTTAACTAAAGACTTACTTGCTTGAGATAATGGAAATCCATAATGTTTATCCTTTTTATTTAAAGATGATGAAGATTGATGTGTCTTAAAATTAATCTCTTGGTCATCTTTGTTTATTATTTTTTGACCTACACAACACAAACATAGAAAATATTTGAACTTCATCTAACAACTTGTCTTCTTATGACATAAGAAGACAAGTTACATAAGTTATGTAGCAATTTTACAATTAAAAATTTTTTACAAATTACTCTACAGATTATTAACTTTATAAGTAAAATAGGGTATATAGTATGGTATATAATATTATAGGTTTCATACTGCTAAACATTTGGTAATAACACCAGAATATCATTAAAGAATAAAAATTTTAAAATGACATTTTGAAGTAAGTCACTTTCTTTCTTGAAACAAATCATCATATTTTTTCCTTTTAGCCTTTTTAACTATAGTAATTCCTTTATAAAAACCACTGATATTATTATTTTTAATTTTTAGAGTTAAAGAAGAAAAACTCTGAGAATGTTGTTCCCTTTTCTCAAATCCAAATAAATTTTTTTGCGTTAAAAGCAGTTGATAGTTAAGTAGAATTAAAAACTTAATCTAGTTTTTTTAAGCATTCAAGTTTACTCAACAATTAAGTTATTTAATAGAGTAAAATAATCTAGCTAACCACACCATTAAAACTTTCTTAATCATATCTACTTGATTCAAATAGAAATACAAACACAACCTAGTTTCAACGAAGGCATACAACTTTAAACTAAAAATACTCCAATATATATTCAAATTTAATTCTACAAGAAAAGAATACAAACACTTGGTTGATTTGAATATATACTAATTTATATAATTTTTACTTAAATTAATTCGCCTAATCGAAGGTCACGCCATTATTTGCGTAAACATACTCTTTTAAATATTGCCGTGCTGTACGTTTGAAAAAAGTTTTTTTTATCACGTTAAAAAAACGTTTTAAAAACGTTTATAAGCTAACTGAGAAATTTCGTAAGTTAATAAAAAAAATAAAACGTTTAAAATACGCTAGAAAAACGTTTAAATTAACATTAAAAAAAACGTTTGCAAAAAAACGTTTTAAAAACGATTGTATTGGTTCTTTTAACGTCCGACCGTAAATTGAACAGAATTAAAACGTTTTAAAAACGTTCTTAGGCTAACGTTAGCCTAAGAACGTTTTTAAAACGTTTTTTTAACATAATAAATAAACGTTTTTTGAATGTACACGGCAATATTTAAAAGAGTACGTTTACACAAATAATGGCGCGACCTTCGATTAAGCGAAGTGATTTAATTAAGTAAAAGTTATATAAATTAACTTATCTTTAAATCAACCAAGTGTTTGTATTGTTCTTGGAGAATTAAAATTAAAAATATATTGGAGTATTTTTAGTTTGTCTTCGTTAAAACTAGGTTGTGCTTGTATTTCTACTTGAGTCAAGTAGATATGATTAAAATGATAAAGTTTTTATGGTGTGGTTATTTAGATTAAATAGCTTAATTGTTGAGTAAACTTGATTGCTAAAGAAACTAGATTAAGTTTTTAATTCTACTTGATTATCAACTGCTTTTAATGCAAAAAAATTCATTTGGATTTGAGAAAAGGGAACAACATTTTTCAGAGTTTTTCTTCTTCAACTCTAAAGAAGAAAAAATAAAATATAATAATATCAGTGGTTTTTATTAAGAAATTACTATAGTTAAAAAGGCAGAAAGGTAAAAATATGATGATTTATTTCAAGAAAGTAAGTGATTTAGTTCAAAATGTCGTTTTAAGATTTTTGTTCTTTAATAATATTCTGGTTACCAAATTAATTACCAAATATTTGGCAGTATGAAACCTATAATATTATATACAATATTATATACCCTATTTTACTTATAAAATTTATAATCTGTAAAGTAATTTGTAAAAGATTTTTAATTGTAAAATTTCTACATGAGAAAACAAGTTTTTAGATAAAATTTGTAATAAAATATTACATCCGCCTAAAATATCACATCCCCCATAGAAAAAACGAAAACGAGATTGCGCTTTCAAGTCATTGCACTTAGAAGTGTATCAAATACGTCCGAAACATTCAATTATAAAAAATATAATTAAAACGCAACGAGATTCATAAAAACGTTTTTCTACTAATATACTATAAATGAAGTTAGCATAAAATGGTAATATATTTTAAATTCTTATTTATAAAATTTTAATCGTAATGTATTGTGTGACAATAGTATAGAAAAAGATTACACATGAGGGATATAATACTTTAGGTAATAAAAATAACAATCGTTTGCAATATTTTAGAAGCCTGCATAGGGGGGATGTGATATTTTAAGTAAGAATTCCAGTTTCTTTTTGTCACATACAGAAATAACAAGTGGTGGATGTTATATTCTATATACCAAATACTAATTGTTTAAAATACTTTATAAATTACTTAGGGGGATGTAATACTTTAGAAGTAGACATACGGGGGATGTTATATTTTAAAGTAAGATTTTCAGTTTCTTTTTCTGACATATACAGTGAATAAACCGAGGGGATGTGATATTCTTGATATCAAATACTAATCGTTTAAAATATTGTATGAATTACTTAGGGGGATGTAATATTTTAAAGGTAAACATAGAGGAAAAGTGATATTTTAAGTAAGAATTTCAGTTTCTTTTTGTGGTACATACAGAATTTACAAGTGATAAATCTTATATTTTAAACACTAAATAAAAACCGTTTGAAATGTTGTATGAATTACTTAGGGGGATGTAATATTTTAAAGATAAACATAGGGGGGATGTGATATTTTAAGTAAGAATTAAAGTTTCTTTTTGTGACATATACAGTGAATAAACCAAGGATATGTGAAATTCTAGATATCAATTACTAATTGTTTGAAATATTGTATGAATTACTTAGGGGGATGTAATATTTTAAAGGTAAACATAGAGGGGATGTAGTATTTTCAGTAAGAATTTCAGTTTCTTTTTGTGACATTTAAAGCGAATAAACCGAGGGGATGTAATATTTTAGATACTAAATACTAATGGTTTGAAATATTGTATGAATTACTTAAGGGGATGTAATATTTTAAAGGTAAACATAGATGGGATATGATATTTTAAGAAAGAATTTAAGTTTCTTTTTGTGGTACATACAGAACTTACTAGTGATGGATGTGATATTCTAGGTACCAAATACCAATCGTTTGAATTATTGTATGAGTTATTTAGGGGGATGTAATCTTTTAGAAGTATACTTTAGGGGGGATGTGATATTTTAAGTAAGAATTTCAGTTTCTTTTTGTGACATATACATAGAATCTACAGGGGGATGTGATATTCTAGGTATCAAATACAAATCAATTGAAATATTGTATGAATTACTTAGGGGAATGTAATATTTTAAAAGTATACATAGGGGGATGTGATATTTTAAGTAAGAATTTCAGTTTCTTTTTGTGGTACATACAGAGCTTACAAGTGATGGGTGTGATAATCTAGGTGCCAAATAGCAATCGTTTGAAATATTGTATAAATTACTAGGAGGGGGGTGTAATATTTTAGAAGTATACATAGGGGGGATGTGCTATTTTAAGTAAGAACTTCAGTTTCTTTTTGTGGTACATACAGAACTTACAAGTGATGGATGCGATATTCTAGGTACCAAATACCAGTTGTTTGAAATATTGTATGAATTATTTAGGGGGATGTATAATTTTAGAAGTATACATTAGGGGGGATGTGCTATTTTAAGTAAGAATTTTAGTTTTTTTTTTGTGGTACATACAGAATTTACAAGTGATGAATCTTATATTTTAAACACTAAATAAAAACCATTTGAAATGTTGTATGAATTACTTAGGGGTTGTAATATTTTAGAGATAAACATAGGGGGGATGTGATATTTTAAATAGCAAATATTAATCGTTTGAAATATTGTATGAATTACTTAGGGGGATGTAATATTTTAAAGGTAATCTTAGAGGGGATGTAATATTTTCAGTAAGAATTTCAGTTTCTTTTTGTGACATATGCAGCAAATAAACCGAGGGGATGTAATATTTTAGATACTAAACACTAATCGTTTGAAATATTGTATGAATTACTTAAGGGGATGTAATATTTTAAAGGTAAACATAGACGGGATATGATATTTTAAGTTAGAATTTAAGTTTTTTTTTTGGTACATACAGAACTTACTAGTGATGGATGTGATATTCTAGGTACCAAATACCAATCATTTGAAATATTGTATGAATTATTTAGGGGATGTTATATTTTAGAAGTATACATTAGGGTGTGTGTGTGTGTGTGTGTGTGTGTGTGTGTGTGTGTGTGTGTGTGTGTGTGTGTGATATTTTAAGTAAGAATTTCAGTTTCTTTCTGTGACATAGAATCTACAGGGGGATATGATATTCTAGGTATCAAATACTAATCAATTGAAATATTGTATGAATTACTTAGGGGAATGTAATATTTGAAAAGTATACATAGGGGGGATGTGATATTTTAATTTAAAGTTTCAGTTTCTTTTTGTGGTACATACAAAACTTACAAGTGATGGATGTGATATTCTAAGTGCCAAATAGCAATCGTTTGAAATATTGTATAAATTACTAGGAGGGGGGTTTAATATTTTAGAAGTATACATAGGGGGGATGTGGTATTTTAAGTAAGAACTTCAGTTTCTATTTGTGGTACATACAGAACTTACAAGTGATGGATGCGATATTCTAGGTACCAAATACCAATTGTTTGAAATATTGTATGAATTATTTAGGATGATGTAATATTTTAGAAGTATACATTAGGGGGATGTGATATTTCAAGTAAGAATTTCAATTTTTTTTGTGACATATACAGAGAATAAACAGGGGGGTGTGATATTCTAGGTATTAAATACTAATAAATTGAAATATTGTAAAGATTTACTTTGGGGGATGTAATATTTTAAAAGTATACATAAGGGGTATGTGATATTTTAACTAAGAATTTCAGTTTCTTTTTGTGACATATACAGTGAATAATTCAAGGGGATGTGATATTCTATATATCAAATACTAGTCGTTTGAAATATTGTATGAATTACTTAGGGGGATGTAGTATTTTAAAAGTAAACATAGCGGGAATGTGATATTTTAAATACCAAATATTATTTGTTTTAAATATTGTTATTATTATTAGGGAGATGTCATATTTTAAAGGTAAACATAGAAGGAATGTAATATTTTATGTAGGAATTAAAGTTTCTTTTTGTGGTACATACAGAACTTACAAGTGATTGATGTGATGTTCTAGGTACTAAATACTAATTGTTTAAAATATTTTGTAACTTACTTACGGGATTTAATGTTTTAAAGGTAAACATAGAGGAGATGTGATATTCTAAATAATAACTTCAGTTTTTTTTTGTGACTTATACAGAGTCTCCACAGGGGAAATGTGATATTTTAAACACCAAATACTAATTGTTTAAAATATTGAAAAGAAATACTTAGGAGGATGTAATATTTTAGAAGCATGCATAAGGGGGATGTGATATTTTAAGAAAGAATTTTAGTTTCTTTATGTGATACATACAGAACTTACATGTGATGGATGTGATATCCTAGGTACCAAATACTAATTGTTTAAAATATTTTATCTTTTTGTGACATATACAGAGAATAAACCGAGGATAAGTGATATTCTAGATACCAAATACTAATAGTTTGAAATATTGTATGAAATCCTTAGGGGGATGTCATATTTTAAAGATAAACATGGAGGGGATGTGATTTTATAAGAATTTAAGTTTCTTTTTGTGGTACATACAGAACTCACAAATGAAATATTGTAATATTATAAAGTACTTTGGGAGATGTAATATTTTAGAAGTATACGTAGTGAGGATGTGATTTTTTAAGAAAGAGTTTCAGTTTTTTTTATGTTATTTATACAGAAGTTACAAGTGATGGTTGTTATAGTCTAGTTACCAAATACTAATTGTTTGAGTTATTTTATGAATTACTTTGGGGGATGTAATATTTTAGACGCCTGAATATGGTGGATGTGTAATTTAAGTAAGAGTTTCAGTTTCTTTTTTTACATATATAGAGAATAAATAGGGAGAATGTGATATTCTAGGTATCAAATACTAATCGTTGATTAGTTTTTGATACCTAATGAAGTATTGTAAAGAATTACTTATTTTTAAAATATACATAGAGGGGGGGGGGGATGTGATATTTTATTTAAAAGTTTCAGTTTCTTTATGTGATACATACAGAATTTACAAGTGAGGAATCTGATATTTAAAACACAAAATACTAATCGTTTGAAATATTGTTAAGAATTACTTCGAGCGATATAATATTTTAGACCCCTGCATAGGGTGGATGTGTAATTCAAGTAAGATATGTATCTCAAATATTGTTAGCTGTTTTTTGTTTCTTGGGCCCTCCTCTGATGGGGAGATCTTTATAATAAATTTTTATATTTAATTAGAATATAAATAAAAAAATTAAAGAGCTTTTAATAAAATCAAGAAACTTTAATATTTATAGTGTTTTTTAGATTTTTAAAGTTTTAATTTAATTTTTTTTTTTTTTTTTTTAGATACGATTGAGCTAACAATTTAAACATGCGACATTTTTCAACGAAGTCATATATAAAACTTTGGTGGAACTAAAGTTTTCATAAGATTTAAAATGAACGAAATTAATTACAATAATTTTTTATTCTAAATGTTTTCATATCTTACAACATAAATATTTTACTAGTTTTAATGTACAAAACGTTTTGAAGGAAAATAAATATATATTACGGTTTGTCTTTTTTCATTCTATTCCATAATTTAAAATTTTTCTTCATTACGCCCACCTATGGTTGCTGAGGCGTAAGGTTTCGGGAAGGTTATAACTTCTTCAGATACTTTTTTTGAATAATAGAAGCTTATTTTCTTGATAAAAGAACATTTTTAAATATTAACGTTTCTTTGGGTGGTTTGGTATGGAAATATAATGTGATTATTGAGCCTGTTGAGGCGAGTTAATAATATTTAGTCCAGTTCACAATTATTAAAATTATACAAATTTTTAAAAGTGGCAGTTAAAAAATTAACTTATTGTTATTACAATAAAATATAAAATCATGTACTTCATGTATTAGAATCATCCAATATCATACTGAACTAAAATGATAAAGAATAATGTACTGTAAAAGATGGAAAAGACAAAGTACATAAACAGTATATATAAATGTTGTATATATATATACATACATATATATATATATATATATATATATATATATATATATATATATATATATATATATATATATATATATATATATATATATATATATATATATATATATATATATTCCATAAAATGTTAACACAACATTTTTGTAAAAATGAAAATTTTGAAAAAAAAAATTCTGCTTCGAACAATCATGCACTTTTGCATAAATGCTAAAGTGCATGATTGTTCGAAGAAGATTTGACAGATTTATAGCGTTGAATTCAACAAGTTTGAAAAAAAGACGAGAGCGTGGTGGCTTAGTTTAAATGATTGAATTAGGTAACAAAATTGACTATATTAATTGTTATAATAAAGATTGATTAAATTTTTATTCAACGAGTCCAGTACCAACGTGTAGCCATAATAAATATAACAAAAAAACCTGCACAGAGATTGTCCTTATTTATAATATATATATATTTTTTTAAATTTGTTATTTAGGTACCCCAAGAAGTCCTAACCGTCTTGTCACAGAGCACCGCGGAAGTGCATTTAACCAGGAAGTTCACTCCTCCTTCCTTACCATGACGCGAAATATGTCCAAAGCTCGTTTTGAACCTGGATCTCCTGCTTATAAAGCATACAATCTAACCACTGCGCCACGGCCGCACAATATTTGGCATAACTTTTTTTGAATCAAGAAGCTCGTTTTGATCAGTTTAGAAAATTAAAAGGTTTAAATAGAGATAAGCGCTAGAAAAAGAATGAGCTAAAACAAAGTGAAGTTACGTTATATTTTTAAACATATTAGTTGAGGTTGAGAGTTTATGTTTCCTTATTTTAATTTAAAAGACATCTTTGTCAGACACTTGTCTCAGAAACCCTTAGCTATTCAAAGGCGTCTAAATTTTATTACGCATAATACAGGTCTTTAAACGTCTTTAAAAAACGCTGAGAAGAGAAATGTTTTTTTTAAATATTGTTACTCTGTAGAAGTTACTGGTATATCTGTTACTTCAATAAAGTTTTCATTTTATTTATAAAATATTTTATTTTTTTTTCAAACCTAATATTTGTTTAACTTTCTACGTGTAATACTAATATGAAAACAATTTTAATTGTTTTTTGATTTATACTCGGGTAAAATATTCGTTTTCTTATTTTAATTTATAGTTAAACCATATATTTTATCATTATTTTATTTTATGGTTTATTTTCAAGAGAAGGCAGAGACACCAACAAAAAGCTTTGAAGTTAATGAAGGTGAAGGTATGAATTAAAAACTCACTTATTCATTTGTAATTGTTAGCGTTTTATTTTATTTATAATTTATTTTCTAGAGGAGGCAGATAACTATAAAAATCTTTGCAGCTAAAGACAGTGAAGGTATATAATAATAAATCACTTTTACATTTTGTTAGCGTTACCTTTTTATTGTAATGTATTGTTTTTTTAGAAGTGGCAGATACAAAAAATAGTTTTGTAGTAAAAGATGGTAAAAGTAGGATTTAAAAAGTTACTTTTTCATTTATAAATGTTACCATTTTATTTTAAAATATCGCTTGTTTTTTAGAGAAGGCAGAGAAGCCAATAAAAACCATTGTAGATTAAGATAGTGAAGGTAAGTATTAAAACTTACCTATTCATATATAATTGTTAGCGTTTTATTTTAATTTGTTTTAATTTATTTTAATATTCTAGAGATAGTAAATACAAAAAAAAACTACATAGTTGATGATACAGAAGGTATGTATTATTCATTGGCGCACGAATGAAATAAAGATTTTTATGTAAACTTATTTAAATATTTAATTTAAACATCCCACCTGGTGAAAAAATATGTGAAGAGCTTTAAAACATGTAATCTTCAATAAATGTAATAGTCGTTATTTTATTAGATAAAAGACTTAAGCTTAAATTTTGATAAAATTATGCTTAAATTGCATTTCATAAATAGATCACGGAATAATAAAATGTATCCATATTAAAAACCCTGTAAAAGTCTTAGGAGGCTGCAAGATATACGATTATTCGTTACAAGACACTTTAAACGAATGTCTCAGTGACGAATTTGTTAATATTTATCTCAAAATATTAGTAAACAGTAAAATAAAAGTATGATTAATTAATGTACTTCATAATAACATTTTTGTACAAAAAAAACCCTTCTTGCATTTTTTTTTTAAATTTGCCTTTATTTAACTAAAATTTAAATTCTAAATATAAAACAATATATTGAATGCCATTCCATTTATTGATGCTTTGAAGAATCGAATCGAAGTACTGTAGCCAGCTGGGCTACTCTCACTGGATGAATTGCCAATTAAAACTGATTTAATACGAAGACGGCATAAGGTATTCAAAAACTTTTATCTAAAAAAATTAATGATTCATTAATTTAATTATAGAGTATTTATACACACACACACACACACACACACACACACATGATGGAAAAACACACACACACACATGGTGGAAAAATTTCATTGGACGCTTGCAGTATGTAAAATTGTATAATTGTTTTTTGAAAAAGTTTATTTCTCTAAGTAAAAAAAGTTTAACTTTTAGTGAAAGGTTAGATTACCTATTTTTTTACAGGGAACCTAACTTTGAACCTGATTTTGAAAATCACTTGTGTTTTAGATAATCGAACCAGGTAATAAAACAATTCACTCTATGGACCCTATGGGAGAACAGACAAATTCCATCAAAAAAGAAGAAGTGAAATGGAAGTATGGTACTATTATTATTAGATATTTCTATGTCAAAATTTATATTTACATCTTTTATAGTTTTTTTACTATTATACAATAGTTGTTACTTACAACAAAGATATGGTGTTTCAGAAAAGTTTGAAATATTAACATTACCACATGCCATACGAGCTGAAGGTATAACATTTGGAGTATTCTGCCTTAAGATAACTTTAAGAGTCTTAACTGTAATGGATATATATATATATATATATATATATATATATATATTACTTAAAACATCACATCCCCCATATATATATATATATATATATATATATATATATATATATATATATATATATATATATATATATATATATATATATATATATATATATATATATATATATATATATATATATATATATATATATATATATATATATATATATATATATATATATATATATATATATATATATATATATATATATATATATATATATATATATATATATATATATATATATATATATATATATATATATATATATATATATATATATATATATATATATATATATATATATATATATATATATATATATATATATATATATATATATATATATATATATATATATATATATATATATATATATATATATATATATATATATATATATATATATATATATATATATAAGCTTACATAATTTAGTTTGCTGAAAGTTATACAAATGGAGAAGTATTGGTGCGTGTCTTTCCACATGAAGAAGTTAATGCATACAGAAAGAGAGATAAAGGAGGTTTGTGAGATTCTTTAGAGAACTGAAAATGTTTATACTACTTCAATGTTAAATGATATCTATAAAAAAGACAAAAAAAAAAATGATGAAAAATTAAATCAATAGGTCAGAAGAGTTAGCAGAATAGTTTGTGTCGCATTTGTGGAAGTGAAATTGGTCCAAAAACTAGAAAAAATCAAAAAAAAATTAAATGAGTAATAAAATATATTTTAATTAATTTTTAATAAAAATTTCAAATAGAAAAAAATACTTTAAATATTCAAATAGAAAAATGTTCATTAAATATTTATTTTTAGGTAAAATGTGATATATGCATTTAAATCGATGGTACCGTATGAGATGCATTGTTTTTAGAAATGAAACTTTATTTTGTTGTGAACATATTTATGTACAAATTTATTAAATATATATATTAAATAATAAATGAAACTTTGAAAATTGCAGTCATTTCTTTTTCTTCAAAATTTTGTCAAAAATTGAACCAATTTAAATGTTTATGCCCTTACAGATAAAAAAGGTGAAATTTTTTTCCTTAGTTCTAGTGACTTCTTGAATTACTATAATACTTTAACTCGTCGGAAGCCATACATATGAATTAATTGAACAATAATACATTTTTAATTTGTTAGCTCAATTAAATCTAAAAAAAAACAAAAAAAGATTGGGTAATCTCTGCACATTTTGCAAATAACAGCTAAAATTCTAAATTAAAATACCAAATCTGCCTATGCAGGCTTCTTAATTATTCCCCAATATTACATCCCTATGTATATCTTTAAAATATTACATCCCCTAAGTAATTCATAAAATTTTTCAAATGAGTAGTAATTGCTATCTTGAATATCACATCCATCACTTGTAAATTATGTTTGTACTATAAAAAGAAACTGAAATTCTTACTTAAAATATCACAACACCCCCCCCCCCTAAATATACTTCTAAAATAATAGATCCCCCTAAGTATTTTTCTACAATATTTCAAGCAATTTATATTTAATACTTAAAATATCATATCTCCCCTGTGGAGTCTCTGCATATGTCACTAAAAGAAACTAGAATTCTTACTTAAAACATCGCATCCCCTCTATGTTTACCTTTAAAATATTAAATTCCCCTAAGTAAGTTACAAAATATTTTAAACAATTAGTATTTGGTACCTACAATATTACATTCATCACTTGTAAGTTCTGTATTTACCGCAAAAAGAAACTAAAAATTCTTACTGAAAATATTACATCCCCTTTAAGTTAACCTATAAAATATTACATCCCCCTAAGTAATTCATACAATATTTCAAACAATTAATATTTGCTGTTTAAAATATCGCATCCCCTCTATGTTTACCTTTAAAATATTCTATCCCCCTATATAATTCATACAACATTTCAAACGATTAGTAATTGGTATCTAGAATATCACATCTCTTCGATTTATTCACTGTATAAGTCACAAAAAGAAACTGAAGTTTTTACTTAAATAATCACATCCCCCCTATGTATACTTCGAAAATATTACATCCCCCTAAGTAATTCATACAATATTTCAAACGATTGCTAATTGGTACCTAGAATATCACATCCATCACTTGTAAGTTCTGTATGTACCACAAAAAAAAACTGAAATTCGAACTTAAAATATCACATCCCCACTATGTATACTTTTAAAATATTACATTCCCCAAGTAATTCATACAATATATCAATTGATTAGTATTTGATACCTAGAATATCATATCCCCCTGTAGATTCTATGTATATGTCACAAAAAAAAACTAAAATTCTTACTTAAAATAGCACATCCCCTCCTAATGTATACTTCTAAAATTATACATCCCCCTAAATAATTCATACAATATTTCAAATGATTGGTATTTGGTACCTAGAATATCACATCCATCACTAGTAAGTTCTGTATGTACCACAAAAAAAACTTAAATTCTAACTTAAAATATCATATCCCGTCTATGTTTACCTTTAAAATATTACATCCCCTTAAGTAATTCAGACAATATTTCAAACGATTAGTGTTTAGTATCTAAAATATTACATCCCCTCTAAGTTTACCTTTAAAATATTACATCCCCCTAAGTAATTCATACAATATTTCAAACGATTAATATTTGCTATTTAAAATATCACATCCCCCCTATGTTTATCTCTAAAATATTACAACCCCTTAGTAATTCATACAACATTTCAAACGGTTTTTATTGAGTGTTTAAAATATAAGATTCATCATATGTAAATTCTGTATGTACCACAAAAAAAAACTAAAGTTCTTACTTAAAATAGCACATCCCCTCCTAATGTATATTTTTAAAATTATACATTCCCCTAAATAATTCATACAATATTTCAAATGATTGGCATTTGGTATCTAGAATATCACATCCATCACTAGTAAGTTCTGTATGTACCACAAAAAAAACTTAAATTCTAACTTAAAATATCATATCCCGTCTATGTTTACCTTTAAAATATTACATCCCCTTAAGTAATTCAGACAATATTTCAAACGATTAGTGTTTAGTATCTAAAATATTACATCCCCTCGGTTTATTCGCTTTAAATGTCACAAAAAAAAACTGAAATTCTTACTGAAAATATTACATCCCCTCTATGTTTACCTTTAAAATATTACATCCGCCTAAGTAATTCATACAATATTTCAATTGATTTGTATTTGATACCTAGAATATCACATCCCCCTGTAGATTCTATGTATATGTCACAAAAAGAAACTGAAATTCTTACTTAAAATATCACATCCCCCCTAAAGTATACTTCTAAAAGATTACATCCCCCTAAATAACTCATACAATAATTCAAACGATTGGTATTTGGTACCTAGAATATCACATCCATCACTAGTAAGTTCTGTATGTACCACAAAAAGAAACTTAAATTCTTTCTTAAAATATCATATCCCATCTATGTTTACCTTTAAAATATTACATCCCCTTAAGTAATTCATACAATATTTCAAACCATTAGTATTTAGTATCTAAAATATTACATCCCCTCGGTTTATTCGCTTTAAATGTCACAAAAAGAAACTGAAATTCTTACTGAAAATACTACATCCCCTCTATGTTTACCTTTAAAATATTACATCCCCCTAAGTAATTCATACAATATTTCAAACAATTAGTAATTGATATCTAGAATTTCACATATCCTTGGTTTATTCACTGTATATGTCACAAAAAGAAACTTTAATTCTTACTTAAAATATCACATCCCCCCTATGTTTATCTTTAAAATATTACATCCCCCTAAGTAATTCATACAATATTTCAAACGGTTTTTATTTAGTGTTTAAAATATAAGATTTATCACTTGTAAATTCTGTATGTACCACAAAAAGAAACTGAAATTCTTACTTAAAATATCACTTTTCCTCTATGTTTACCTTTAAAATATTACATCCCCCTAAGTAATTCATACAATATTTTAAACGATTAGTATTTGATATCAAGAATATCACATCCCCTCGGTTTATTCACTGTATATGTCAGAAAAAGAAACTGAAAATCTTACTTTAAAATATAACATCCCCCGTATGTCTACTTCTAAAGTATTACATCCCCCTAAGTAATTTATAAAGTATTTTAAACAATTAGTATTTGGTATATAGAATATAACATCCACCACTTGTTATTTCTGTATGTGACAAAAAGAAACTGGAATTCTTACTTAAAATATCACATCCCCCCTATGCAGGCTTCTAAAATATTGCAAACGATTGTTATTTTTATTACCTAAAGTATTATATCCCTCATGTGTAATCTTTTTCTATACTATTGTCACACAATACATTACGATTAAAATTTTATAAATAAGAATTTAAAATATATTACCATTTTATGCTAACTTCATTTATAGTATATTAGTAGAAAAACGTTTTTATGAATCTCGTTGCGTTTTAATTATATTTTTTATAATTGAATGTTTCGGACGTATTTGATACACTTCTAAGTGCAATGACTTGAAAGCGCAATCTCGTTTTCGTTTTTTCTATGGGGGATGTGATATTTTAGGCGGATGTAATATTTTATTACAAATTCAATTATTCTCTATGCTTGTATTTTGTAGGTTAAAAATAATAAATAAAGATGGTATTGATTGTGATGACCAAGAGATTCATTTTAAGACGCATCAATCTTCATCATCTTAAAATAAAAAGGATAAATATGATAGATTTCCATTATCTCAAACGAGTAAGTCTTTAGTTAAAAATAATGTAAAGTTTGTTGTAAAATGCTAACACGACTGTCAATATTAAAAGATTTCATTGAAAAGATGAGGTTCCAATTTTAACTTTAAATAATCACCTGCATGAAATCCATTATTTCAATATTGTCAAAATTATAAATCTACGGAACAATCTTTCTTCTCTAACCCTAAATCTGAGAAAAACTGTAATATATAGTATAATACTTATTGTGGCTATACCAAAAATTAGCATTGTTACAATCAAGTATTTTACTGTCTATTAGTTTTTCTCTGATTTAGAGTTAGACCAGTAAAGTTGTTAAATTATTAAGTTTATATATTTTAAATTTATTTATATACGTAGTTTTGTTAATACTATGTAAAATTTGTAAGTTTGTATTATTGTAATACTATGTAAAATTTGTAAGTTTGTAATATTGTAAGTTTGTTTAGACTTTTAATATTGTGTGTTGCGTCTTCTAAATGAGATAAAAACCCAAGGATCCAAAAAACCTAATATAAAATAGTGTGAGCAAGAAGTAGTAACTGAAATGAACAGCCTAATAGAGTTTGATAAATTTGACTCAGCACTTGATAATGTTTCATCTAGTAACTCTGCAGTTGTAAATTGCTAAATACTGATTTGAAAAATTTTTTCTTTTTTAAAAATTTTCTTTAAAATATATAATTTTTACCACTTAATTAGGAATTGTCAGTTTTTCCATAATTTCTTTCTATTAGAAACAAAGAGTTCAAAATATTGGTGGTAAGAATTGTCAAAAATGTATGATAGGTATGATGAAGAGGTTAGTAAATTAAAAGTGCATTCTTATAAATACTCTGTTTAAGTTTATAACGATATTACTCCTATCTTACAATCCATAATACAAATCCCATGCATGGCTCTACATAAGGTGTTTTACCATAATGGGACAAGTGAATAACCGTGAATTTCATATGTGCGAACTGGCGTAAGTACGAATTCGCATAAGTGCAAACTAGCACATGTGTGAAGCAGTTACAAAGACACAATGCCAAATGGAATAAGTGCAAATGGGTATAAATGCGCAAAAAGAATTTCCAAACATTGGCATAAGTGCAAACTGGCATAAGTGCGAATTGGCATATGTGCGTCGAACAAATTTGCAAACATTAACATAAATGCGAATTGGCATAAGCGCAAAGCAGTTATTGAAACAGTTACAGAAACTAGTATAAGTGCAAACTAGCATATGTGCGAATCGGCATAAGTGCAATAAATAGATTCAAAACATTCTCATAAGTGTGAATTGCCATAAGTGGGAACTGGTATAAGTGTGAAGCAGTTGCAAAAACTGGAAAAAGTGCAAACAACATAAATGCGAAATGGCATAAGAGTACCAAATAAATTTGCAAGCATTGGCATAGGGGCAAACTGGCATAACTGCAAACTAGCATAAGGGCAAATTGCTAATTAGCACTTATGCCAATGTTTGCAAATTTATTACGCGCACTTATGTCAGTTCGCGCTTTTGCCAATATTTGTAACTGTTTTGTACTTATTCAAATTTTGCACTTATGCTTATTCGTAATGTTTGCAAACTTGTTTGGCGCACTTATGTTAATTCACACTTTTGCCAGTTTGCAAGTTTAAAGCTATAGGTTATCCTAGCTTAACTTTATTCCAGACAATTCTTTTAACCCAGACTATTCATATATATGACTACAAGAATGGTTAGACTACAATAATGTACACTAATGATCTGAACTGCACTAATTGTTAGTATGCTATTTATTAAATAATAATAATTAATAGATAAACTTTATCGTTAAATTTAATAAAACATTTAGATTTAAATTATTAGAAAAAGAAAAACATTTTAGAGTAGAATAGAGTAGTTATTTATAATTTCATAAATTATAAAATATAATATTATTAAATTATGGTATTTTTAGTTTTATGAAAAATTCATTCATGATCAAATTTAATATGGCAGCTGGAAAAGACAATGAATTGTTTCAGTCTAACCAAGCTATACAAATAAATAAAAGGTACGTTTATATATATATATATATATATATATATATATATATATATATATATATATATAATATATATATATATATATATATATATATATATATATATATATATATATATATATATACAGTGGTCAAAGTGAGGTGGGATGCCATCCCATCACACACACACACATATATATATATATATATATATATATATATATATATATATATATATATATATATATATATAATATATATATATATATATTTATATATATATATTATATATATATATATATATATATATATATATATATATATATATATATATATATATATATATATATGTATATATATATATATGTATATATATATATATTTATATATTTATATATATATATATATATATATATATATATGTATATATGTATATATATATATATGTATATATATATATATGTATATATATATTTATATATATATTTATATATATATATATATGTATATATATATATATATATATATATATATATATACATATATATATATATATATATATATATATATATATATATATATATATATATATATATATATGCTATGTGATACAAAAATACAAAAATATTTACATCTCAAAAAAAAATTCCTTGATCCGTCGCTGATATATACATATGTGATATATACATATGTGATATATATATATATATATATGTGTGTGTGTGTGTGTGTGTGTGTGTGTGTGTATATATATATATATTTAATATACTTTTTATTTGTGCGTATTATGAAATTATATATATATTTTTAAAACATATATTTGTAATTTAAAAACTTATTACTATTATTATTATTATACTATAATACTATTATTACTGTTCAGATTGTCTGTTGTAATATAGTTTATTCTTTTAGTTTGTGCGTCGACTGCTCACTAATCATAAACAGAGTCGATTGTTGATGCAATAATTACTGATTCGTTAAAGCTGGCAACTTCTACTTGTGCTAAAGTACCTTAAATCCAACAGATATCATTGTTACGATATTAATTTGTTTGTAAATTGTTTTAGAAAATAAATTTAAAAATAACTTTTAAATAAATTTTTTATTTTTCTTGTTTTTTTAACCAACAGGTTCTTTTAAACAATTTGATAATAGTCCCTATGGACTTGGGAATATTTTCTGAAAAAAAAACGTCCTTTAAACGTTCAAAAGACTTTTTTTTATGGTTCAATTTGGGTTTTTTAAGAGCGTTTTTTAAACGTTTGTTTTAGAACGTTTTTAAACGCTTTTTTTAAAACGTTTTTTAGGTATTGCCATTTCGAACGTTTAAAAAACGTTTTATTTATTAGTTAAAAAAACGTTTTAAAAACGTTCATGCGCTTACTGGGGAAGATATAATTTGTCTCATAACCAAGCTCCCTAATCTAAACTGTAAATATAAAATAACAAAAATTAAAAACGTAACACTATATAACATAAAACGTTTTTCTAAAGACTTTATAAATAAAATTCAAAGGTCGTAATGTCCTACTTTACAATTTTTTTTTGTATTTCTTGAGAAAAATTTTAAATACAAAGATAAAATTTTTAGTATAATATATTGTTAAAAAGTATGGAGGCCAATACGCATAATCCTGAGGTTTTCCTTTTACACCAGCATATACCTTGATGTTGCTATAAAAGAAAAATTGAAGTAATAACAAGGGGCATGATCTATTCTAAGATCATTAAGTTGATTAAAAAAAAAAAAGCAAAAGTCGATTATCAATAGCAAAAGCTATTGATGAACGGCACAAGCTCAGCTTCTGAAGTAATAATGGTTGCAACCATTAATACTTAACTGTAATCCTGGGAATATGTGAAACAACCCACATTGGAAATGATTTTGATTGCATGCTTTTGTTTATTAAATTCATTTTCATTTGTACCAAACAATATGTGCGTAATTAAGATAGCAATAAATGAACGAGAAATATTTTAAGAAAGTTGGATTTAAAAAAGATTTTGTTCTATAAAGTAGGCCAATGTTCTTCGAAATTTTATTTTCGAGATAATGTATGTGATAACTTGTGCTCATTTATTTTTAGTTTTCTTTGGTCATTTTTTAAGATTAAAATGTTTTTCTTTTCATCTTTTTTTTTTCTTGATGTAAACCATTGGATCACGAGAGTATGCAAGTTTTGATGTATTATGACGTTATATATATGACATCATATATGATGACGTTATATGCATAGTAAGGCAAGTCAATTGAAGGACTAAAATCAAATACCTTGAAAAAAAGAAACTATATTGTGAAATAATGGTATAATTTTATATGTGAAACGGATGCTTTTAGAAAAACTTTAAATTAAGAGGTTTCTTATTGTTTTTACGTGTAATAATTTGTTAATGTTTTTACGATAATTAAAATAATGACGTATTTTGCATTTCCGTTTTTAAAATTTGTTTATGATTAAAAATTGTAAAAATACTTTCCCTAAAGTATGAAAAATTATAAATTATAACTTATAAATTATATTTAATCAGTATTTAATTAAAATTAACTTTAATGGCATGAAAAAGAAAATAAGAAATACAAATAAGAAATTTATTAATTTTATCTTAATTTATCAATTTATTTAACCCAATCAATTTATTGGTAGAGGAAAACAACTTTTACCATTTGAGCTCCCTACTGCAAGGGATATTTTACGATACGGGACTATTTTGAAAGAGACAAGCAATCAAAATAAACTATACTGTTGATAAACTAGTTACTGATATGACTCCAGCCGTATTTTCTCAGTAGAAAAAACCTAATTGCAAGTTTAAGATAAACTAAAGTAACTTTGAAAAACTACAGTTAAAATTAGCCATGGAAATGTTAAAAAATCAATAAAGGAGAAGTTCATTTCAAAAATTGACAAATTTGTTGATATTTTATCTTGCAAATAATGTTTTGTTTAAAGTGCTGTTGTAACAATGACTGTAAAAGGCAAATGCATCTTAATTGCATGTGTGTGCAAGAAAATAAAATTCCTGTATTAGAACTCAGCTTTATTAAGTCTCAGAGAGATAAAGTTGATAGTTTCGCACATTACCATATTGGTGGTGTTGACATAACAAAGTCAACAAAAATAAAAGAAGAGAGAAGCATCTTTGCAAATAAGTGGGAGAGCAAAGAAACGTAAAATAAAAGAAGAGAAGATTAATAAAAAAAATTCAGAAAGATCATAATTTTTTAGCACACAACAATTACTTATAGTATATATTCGTTATAAATGAAGCTATATCATACAGGCTTCAAGGAAAGCTGCGGAAATAGCGATACCACCATTAACTGATGCTAAAACTGTAACAAAGAACAGCACATTGCTAATTATTGTTCGCAACAATATAAAAAGAGCACAAAAGATTTACTATTAAATTAATAATTATAATTTTAATATTAAATTAAGTAATAAATTGAATAAAGATCTTAAGAATAATGAGATTTTCTGTATTTTTTTTTTTTTATGACAGATACTTCCCTTGTCTTAATAAAATAGACAGATATTTCCCTTCTTTTATTAAAGATTTTTTTGTAGTGACTGAACCAGGTGGTAGATATTTATTTCACTTTGTTCAAGATAAGAGTGATCAGAGAAAACATGCTGAGATAATGGCAGACCACCTGGTGGTCTGCCATTATCTCAGCATGGGAAGACAGCACATATGTAAATACTGGGTATGAAGGTTGAGTGATGCAATGGTTGAAAAAAAAATTGAGAAGGAGATTAGCGTGGATTGCTTGTGATCTTTAAACCAATGAGTTAGGTTTAAGGCACTTAATTATAAATTTATAGCCCAACCAAATGTCAAAATGAGCGGTCTGTATCACTTGGAAATATATTAAATATTGTTACAGGTTTTAAAACCAATCCTGGTTTTATAAAGATTGATATTGAACCTCTGTTACTTGTTCTTAGCCCAGAAGTTATCAAAAGTAAGTACTTGCCAAATTATTTTGGGTTAACGGTTCAAGACATATACCAATTAAAACTCCTTGAAAGCCAAAAGAATCCAGTTGTTTATATTGTAATTTCTATCGTAAAAAGATCCTCTAGGTATGCACGTTCAGAAGCTATTTTGCAAGACGTAGGGAGAATAAAGATTAGAGAGTGCATAGAGATTATTCTTAGACTCCGTGAAAATGAATAAGAGCAAACTAATGTTGGTGATTATTGTAATAGGCATCAAAGAACACCTAATATTAACATTGATGTTGAGAATCTTTACGGTCTCATTGACTAAAACAACAAAGTTGCAGAGCCACCTTTGATACGCAATCTTATATCTACTGCTATTAAAGATTTTATTAACACCCACATTTATTAGCATTCCTATTTACTTATATGTATATTTTTATTCCTATAAACTACTTAGTTTGGTATGAATCAAATAAGGAAAAGATGAGGCCGAGAAAAAACGAATTAAAAAACTAAAAAAGTTTAAATCTTTTTTGCAAAAGAATGTATGAAGTTAACATCTTATTTGTATAAAAAAAGACAACCAGACGCAAAATAAAAACATGAGCAGGTCTTCAACAGAACTTGTTCAAGAACAATTGCAAGCAATTTATCTTGATAATATGTCAACATCTTTTTAAGACTATATTTCCTATGACTTATTTGCGGAAAATTCAGGCAGTTTTTGCGCACTAAACGGGAAAACAAAGTTGGAATGATTATCGTCTACGTCTTCTATTGCGACTAGTAATCATCAACAAAACGACATTTAAAAAGCTGAAGAACACTCGAAAGGATGTCAGTTGTAAAGAAAGCTCATTTTATTAACATAAATTACATTGGAAATGTCATTACGTCTACTATGAACATAAGGACTATTGAGCAAAATATAATAGAGTCACCTGAAATCAAAATCCAATGCATCACATTGGTCTTTTGTTACCAAACCCTTTCATAATTGGAATAAGCTTAAAGAAAAATTAACTGATTATAAAAATAGATTTTATCACAAACGTTGTTTGGACGCATATTATACTATTCAATCAACCCTTAAAAATGTTTCTTTTAGAGCTGACAGTCAACAAAGTAAAAGAATTTGCTGAACCAATCAAATGTAATACACAACTTTTGAAATGTATAATGAAAGCTGTTATTTGTTGTGGAAAACAATGCATGTACCTCTGCTTGGTACACTTGAAAATGTAAATAAACTTGGAAATAATGGTAACTTTCATTCACTGCTTAAATTAATGGAAGATTCTAACAATGAACTGCAACAGCATTTGTAAAGTCCAAAAATGAAAAATGCTCGTTATATTTCAGCAAAGGTTCAAAATGAAATTATCACGGTTTTAGGAAAAGATATGGCAAAAGCTTCCATAATTCTCATCACACAGAGCAACTATTCCTTGTACTAAGATTTTTGATAAGAAAAATGAAATATGCGAGGAGATTGTGACATTTGTAAAGTTGGAGCGCGTGAGAGCCAAAGATGTTTTTACTAAAATTAAGCAAACTTTACATGACCTTAATTTTAATATTGAAAATATGAGAGGCCAGGGATACGATAGTGCAGCATCAATGACAGGTTCGTTATCAGGTGTAGAGGATCAATTTCTGAGCATTTAACCGAAAGCAAAATACAACCATTGTGCAATTCATAGACTGAATTTGGTTATTAGTCATTCATGCAAAATACCTGAAATAAGAAATGTGTTAGATATAATGAAATTATATCTAACACAAAAGTTTACGAAATGGAAGAAAAATAGCGCAAAGCAAACAGAACTTCTAAACTTGGTGTACCAATACGAAAACCAATTCAACCATTGAATAGACCAAAGATTCTAACTAATATTTGTGTTACAAGATGGTTTCAAAATTTAGATGAATGGGAAAAAAATTGTTACAATTCATTCGAATATATAAGCATGCACCAATTATTGCCGAAAAATCAGGGCAAAGAACAGGAACGACTTGTTAATTTGGCTTTAATGCGCATCCACCATCATTATAATTTTGATTTAGATATGGCAATTAAAATGTTTGTTTACATCCGAGAAGATTAAAATTTTGTCTTATTTCTTTTAGACGATTAACAATTGTTGT